GGATCATTATAAGGATTCAATAAGTTAATATGGGTAAAATGCTTAGCACATAGTAAGTGTTCTAGGCGTTAATATCAGAATCCTCAAAATCATGCTCTGGGTGGATATTATTTAACAGATAAGGAAACTGAGGTTAACAGAGATTAAGTTGCTTCAAGTCACACAGCAGCTAGTTAACTGAAACAGCAAAGCTGGATTCAAAATACTGATTCCAAAGCTTTTGCTTTGCCACACTGTCACTATGCCACATTACATCTCAGTAAAAACTCAAATACTTATCAAATAATCAGTGTTGAATTATAAGTGATTCTTGACTATCTGCAGGGACTTGCCAACCTGAGGCTGTTGTCCTCCCACCTTCAGGACCTTATTCCCTGTGGGTAATGCTTTCTTAGAGGGTTCTGGAACACCCACACCCACTCACACCATCAGCAGGCAGACAGGTGATGCCAACAGACGGGGGAAGCATCTGCTGAGTCTCTAGGTTCTGAGAAACAGGGGAGAGAATTTTTCAGATTCTGATTATTGGTCTTGCCATATCAGTAAAGTGAATTTTGTTATTTTATAGATCTGTATCTTTCAGAGAATTGAGCAAACACAGATTAGGGAAAATGGGTAAAGGGATTAAATATCTAGGTACCTACACTGTATCTTATCATCCTTGCTCCCCTAGGGATTCTCCTGAACATACATATCTTTTGGTCTTAATAATCATAGTTATTCACAAAAATACCTACTCTGGTAAACACTAAAATTCCTAAAGCTAATTTATTTCTCACCATATTATTATGTCCAAAGAGAGTAAGCTGGTGCCCACGTCTCTAATGCACTCCATCTACTATTTCCTTTTTAAAAGGAGGAAAGGTGCTCAGCTTTACCCAAGATGGATTTGTGGAAGTGGAAGAGACCAGTAATGGCTTTCATTCCTGCCACTCTCCAAAGACTGCAAACCCTGGGTTCGGTTGTTATGCAAGTTGCTGGTTGGAGCTGAGCACGCAGTCTAAAGCAGGTGACATTGAACTGGTCTATCATTCAGTGACTCTACCGCAGGACACGACATGAAAAGGTCCACCGACATGCAGAGAGCAGCCTGTCAGATGTAGGCTAGCCTGTTCTCCATCTACATTTTTAGAAACCAGTTCAATGGCTCCTATCCCTCCCACCTTAGAGATGACAAGAAAGGCAGGCAGGAAGAAAGTGATCCTGGGGGGTTGGGCAGGCACGGGTAAGACACATGTTTTCCTCCAAAGGCTCTCACGTTGCTTATTAGATAAAGTCAGCTCCATCAAGACAGCACACTCTTCACATTCTAAATGGTTCCTTGGTTTTAGAACTGTGGCACTCCTGCCCATGCTGTTTCAGAAGAAAGCAGCCTCTTGGCAAGCAACCGGACTCTCTCAGTTCCATTACCAAGGGAGAAGCCCGGAGTTATCCATCAGGGGAAAGGGTCCTAGCAAATCATAAGTGTTTTTACCTCTAAAATTTGCTCTCTGATTCTGTAAGAAGTGAGAGGAGATTAAAAAAAAAAAACAAAACTCCGAGGGAAGGGCTGGAGAAAGGTGGAAATGCCAAATACAATTTTAACAAAGGGGGCTGGGAACAGAATGCATGGTACAATCGTTAGGAACCCTGGCTTGGACTCTGAAAGATCTGGGACTCTGCAACTCAGTGTGTGACCTTGGAGAAATTACTGAACCATTTTCTGTGACTGAAGGAATCTGTTTCCTCCTCTGATCACTTTACAACGTTATTGGACAACATTTACCGAGCACATACTATGACTAGGCACAGTGCTGAGCTCGGAGTTTCATGGGAAAATTAAGTCAGTCTCGGAATGACTATGTTACCTAATATATCGACATTACATTAATATATTGAGAGTATTAGTACTCAGATCATTACAAAGATTAAATGAGAGAACGCCTGAAGGGTTTATCACAGTGCTTGACATACACAAAAAACTCACGAGAAGGCAGATATTAATATGAAGGGCAAGTTCCATTTGCCTTGGCGACAAGCACGAGGGAAACAGGGTTAACCTGAAGGGTTTTCCCCTCCTCATTTTGCCACATCCTCTGCTACCAGCTCTCAAGTCCCTGGCAAGCTCCTAGCCTCCACCAGGGACTTGGCTCTTCCAAACTACAATGGAAGGACCCATCAGTTTAAGGTGATTAAAATACAGAAAACTTGTCAGGCTAGCCATTACTTTAGTGAGGAGTAGCAACCGGAAGGAAGTCTGCTTGGGGCTGTGGGAGCTGGCTGTCTTCTTTCCTACTCTAGGTGATGGTCACATGGACATATCCACTTTGAGGAAACAGGAAACTCAATTTCTTATAATTAAGATTTGATGGGGTGCCTGGGTGGCTCAGTGGGTTAAGGCCTCTGCCTTCAGCTCGGGTCATGATCCCAGGGTCCTGAGATCGAGCTCCACATCAGGCTCTCTGCCTGCTTGTGATCGGGGAGCCTGCTTCCTCCTCTCTCTGCCTGCCTCTCTGCCTACTTGTGATCTCGGTCAAATAAATAAATAAAATCTTAAAAAAAAAAATTGAACACTCTTCTGAACAAACGTTTATGTTAATAAAAAAAAAAAAAAGTTAAACAGTAACTGCCCTTCTCCAACATCCAAAGCACAGAGCAGCCCTTCCTGATAGGCATGCCACACTTGGGTCGTGAGCACACCAGGTCAGTCACCTGTGGCAGCAAGCAGCCTCCTCAGTTTACCTACCAGGGAGCTGTAGAAATACCTTTTTTTTTTTTTTTTTTGTAAAATTGGGAGGTAGTGCTCTAGAGTACCGAATGACAACATCCTCCTCAATCACACGAGTTTACCTTAAGGTTTTTCCCATCTAAGGTCAATTTTATTGCCTCAGTTTTTAATGAGATTGTTTCATCTTCACCAACAAGGAAAGAATACACCACATTTATGGGTCAACACTCCTAGACTGCTCTTTACAAAACTGAGAGCCTGTCTTTGACATCACTCCTTAACTTACTCTTCATAATAAGCAAATATCTAGCATATCCCTCCCCCTTTCCTGATTTCCTTTCCCCACAACTGGGGGAGGGGGGACCTAAAAGAAATGTCAATCATTTATCAAGTCAATGGATATAACACAGACTACATGCTGGTTTTCTCTTTGAAAGTTTATTGTTATTAAAAAAAAAAAAAACCTATACTTTTTACATTTTACATTCACCTCTCAGAACATTTAATGATACCAGTTAATGATGATATATAAAAAGCCCACCAGCTGCTTGAAATGGCTGCAAATTTTTACCATGTACTGATATTAAATTGGTTTGAACTCTTTGGAAAAATTGGTGTAACATTAAGTACCAAGATTTCAAATTCCCAGATTAGAAACAAGATTTTAAAGTCAGGAGGAAATTTAGTAAAAATTCAAGGCTAAAAGGAAATGTTAATGATAAAACAAATATACTGTAAAAAACAGGATTCCCCTCCATCCCCAAAGTCAGGTTAAAAAAAAAAAAAAAAAGAAAGAAAGAAAGAAACGAAACAAAACCAACCCAACCCCACCCCATCCCCAATATTTCTCTTAGAAAAGTCACCCAATCCTGAACACAGGGTCTCACACACAAACACAAGTAGCTTGATTTGCAGATCAGCCTCTGGGATCTTATACTGGACTCAGTTTGGAGTTTAAAGAAAAAAAAAAAAAATTAAGTTAGGTAGTTAGATATCCATAAAAACCGGTATCCAAACAAATGAAAACATCCTGGCTTTGGTATGGCTACGGAAATCTGGAAATAGTTCAAGAGGACACTGGCTTTGGAAGAGAGGGAGTCAGAGGGTAGGGAAGGCAACACAATGTCCCCAAGCAGAGGTAAAATAAATATTGCGACATATCCATAGCAAACACTGTGTATAATACCAACGCAGGTGCCTTAAACAAAACACACAAACAGGTTCTTGATCAGAATAACCCAAGTGCAATTTCTTAATCAGATTAACACCATGTACAGGTTCTTCATAAGAGTTGTCTAGACCAACCTTTTCCCAAGTCTTATCTGCAGGAAAGTTTGAATTTGGGGATATACATGGTACCCTAAGGTCTGGTGAGAAAGAAAGACCTTCTGGAATAAGAATGGCCACCTGGGGTTAAAGCCAGCCCCTTGTTAGTCCAGGAATCTCAAAATCTGTTTTTGCCCATCACAAAAGCACCTCCAACTCCTCAACAAGGGGGCTCTGCTACCCCTGGTCACCAAAGAGGCCTGCCAGAGGGGCCGTACTGCTGGCTTTTCATCTCTGGAGTGATAAAATAAAAAACTCGATCTTCTGGGATTAGGAGTACAATTTACTGTGCTGTGTCTCAAGTCTATTCCCCACTTGTGCCCATTCCCACAGTCATGATTAAGGATTGTGAGGATACTGAGGACCAGAAGGCAGTGATGTGGCCGAGGCCAGAGAAGAAGCCAAAGTGCCCATACTCTGGTCTTCCAATGAACAGTTACTTCACAAAAGCACAAATGTGCCACCAGAAAAGGCAAGAAAAAAAAAAAAAAAAAAAAAAGACAACTTCTTGCTTTGATGCTGAAATCTCCAGTAGTTATCAACACAAGCTTTTCCAAAAAAAAAAAAAAAAAACAAACTTTGGTGTACTGCTAGGAAGCCAAGTAAGACAATCATTCAAAAAAAACAAAAACAAAAAAAAAAAACAAACTCTGATGACCACACATACTGCAACTAAATTTCCATCACAGGGCACTAGTGGAGAACAGACAGCCACCTGCTTTTATGGGACGTTACACACACCACAGGGACAACGCAAGCAACAGAGGCCCTCCCGCAGAGCGAAGGCTGTCAAGAAGAAAGGAAAGATGAAGGCCCTGTTGACTGTGGACTTGGTTCACTCCGATAATCATCATCATAGGGGCTGAGGGCAGAGAAGCATGGAACACCCAGGCAACTCTAAACTGTTAAACACGGATCATTTACCTTATTCTCTAAAGGAGACTCCAACATGGGGACGTGCGGGGGTACGTTATAAATTAAAACAAAAACAAATCTGTACATGCCTCTACTGAGTCAGTAAGGTTTGGTCTCTATTGAAACCAGGACTTACAAGGTGATTTCGCTTGTCATCACGGCCCCCCAACTTGCTTTTGGGTGCATATATCAAGAAATGACACAAAGATAATCACCTGAGACCGAGGGCATGACATACCAAGATTTCCTAGGATGCATAAGGTCTACTAATTTCCCACAGAGATGCTAACCATTGCTCTAACTCCAAATTCTTTAAATATTCTACGGTGGCAGCTATGAACCAGAAAGCCCCATCTGCCAGTGAACCATCTCTCCAAGGCTGGAAATGAGCAGCAGAAGGCAAGGAGTGTGGGGAAGGTTGTTGCCCCCAGGCTTCCTTTGGTGAGTGGCAGCCGCAGCAGAGCTTCCTTTGTCTTCAGCCTGGGCCAGACCTCCTGGGAGGCTGGGGGCGCTGACAAGGTCCACAGGCTGGAAACAGTCCGTGTGCAGTGACGGCATCAGTGACAAGAGTGTGCAAATGGAATTATGAGTGAGAGTTCACAGATAACTGATGACTGCCCAGTCAGTTTCCCCTCCCCACCTACAATAGATAACCCAGATAATTGGTCGGCACGAGGTACTTCATCTCCTTACGGGCAGGAAACAGAAATGAATTAGAAATAAAAACTTCTGAAATGACCAGTTGCTCCAGCTTGAGCTAGAACAAATGTGTCTGCATAAACCACTTGCATTAAATAACATTTCAAATGCGGTACCTTCAGCACATTTGGAGCCTGAGATGCCCCCTCCCCCCAACCCCATTTCCTTCAGTGCACGTAGCCACCCAGGCAAATTTTTCTGTCGCTCAGCCAGTGGAATGGATGGCATACGCCAGATGTTACACAAGGCATTTATTTCTCAGAGAAGGCTGAGAGCCAGGAGAATTAATCTCCTTCTGCTAAGACCTCTGCCCCAAGCTTCTGGGGAAACAGTGAATTGGGCTCGACAAGGGAAAGAGCTACGTGATCCACTAATCAGATTCAAAACATGAAAATGCAATGTAGAGTGTACCCCTTCCTGGTAGAAAGACCTAAAGTCAATTAAAAAAAAGATATCCCTTCAAACTCAAAGGAGGCTTAAAAAAAAAAAAAAAAAAAGACAAAGTATAAGCCAAAAAAAAACCACAAAGAAATGAGTAAATTGAACTCGCAACACTCCCCAAAGCAAGAGTTCACGGTGACGGCTGGCCGGAAGAGGTCGAGGCAGGAAGGAGAAACGCAAAGACGGAAGCGCCTGCCACCACAGCCTCGCAGAATCCACGATAGTGCTCCCCAGTTTCCAAGGCCAAGGAGCAATTCCCGGGTTAAAAACTTTCTATTTGGAAGAAAACAAAACGAAAAACCACTCCAGAAAAAAGGTCAAGGGAAGAACACTGTAGAAAAGTCAAGCCGCTGACCTCCGGCGGATCACAAAGAGCCCGCGCTGAAGCTGGCCCAAGTAAATCCTCATCTTGGTGCTGTCACTTGTCTTCCGCACCCAGATCTGCAGGGGAGAAGGAAAGGGATGATGAGAGCAGCTAGAGCGAATACTGAGGAGCAAAATCTTCCAGAGCATCGAAACATCTGCAAGCATGAGGTGTGGGCGGAACCGTGGCAACCTCCTCTCAGGCTGTACCCCGCCACCCATCAGGAACCGTTTAGCATAGGGCAGGTGTCAGCCCCGGACCTCCTTTCTCCTTCCTTCTCTCTCCCTCACACCTCTGATTATGAAAATGGAGGGCACCGTGATCTCAGGTTCTATTTTTGCCTTGATCTTAAGGACATTCTTTTATTTGGTTTGATTATAGCACTATCGACATTCAAAATAAATGCATTCATGAATATAAACTTGCAATCAAGTTTGGAAATATTTTCCTTGCCTCAAGGGACTTCCATATCATAGTCTTTCACTACTCTGGTTTCCTGGCAATTAAGGCTAATGGTCATGGCAGAAAAGGAAGGGAAAAAAATAACAAGGAAAAAAAAAAAGCCCATGAGTGAGCGAAGGCCCAATTAGGAGCATCAGAAGGCTAAATCAGCTTAAGACAGCCCTTCCCTCCTGACCATATCCTTTTCCCACAGATGGTGTCAGATGTCTGACATTTCACAGGGCAGATGTATTCTTGCACAGAATGGAGAATGAACTCTGGCAGCAGGGGGACCGCCAGCGCGGGGCACTTAGTGTCGTCATCCCTGTGGCCAGGACTGGTAAGTGGGAAGCAGCTGCCTCCTCGGTCACCAGACACTGGTCACACCTTAGCTCAGTCACACCGCAGCCTTCTCATCTTCAGAACCACCTTACGATGTACCATCCTCACCCCATTTTATGGAAGACGAAGGCTGAGTCAACTTGTCCAATGTGAATTCTGATGCCTGCTCTCAAAACCCCTTGCTTGCTCTTATCCAATAACCTGGCCCCGACTCCTCATCTGTTCCTCGTCCGTTTAATTAATGTGCCAACAGATGGGGCCAGAAGCATGATTCTTTTAAGTTCAGCATCTCACCCACATATGCAAGTAGACGTCCATAGACCTATCTGCTCCCTCCCCCATTCAATTCTCATGTTTTAAAAAAGGTGTGTGTTCTCAGTCTCGTTTCAATTCCTTTAATGTGATTATTTAGCAACAGAGAGACTTCAAAGTCAAATACAGCGGTTTAAAAATAAAGACCTCACATGAAGCTGAGCCTCTAAGGACCTCGCAGAAGCACTTTAAACTGAAAAATGACCGCAAGAAGGGCTGAAATGGGGAGTCACCAATAGCCTCAGACTCACCCAACAAATGTCCCTGGAGTCAGGTTATGCCAAGGCCAACTGGCTCCAGGGTCACTTAGGATTTGACCTGAAAAATCAGCTGGAATACTTCCAAGAAGTGAGAAATGTTTTCCCTTTACCAGAGTCGCATGCCTTGGGTGCACTGAGGCCTCTCCCCTCCAGGTGACATGTCTCAGTGTCACCGTTTTCTTGTCAGACCTCCTTAACACTCTGTTATGTCAAAGGATGACAATCTTCAACAGAGAGAGAAAAAATATAACTTGCAGTTCTATTTTTCCTGAAAAATCTTGAGGTGTCACCGAGGAGGATGAGGCCAGGCACAAGGGCTCTGCTGTGAAGTCACAACAGCTCTTGCTGACAAACAGCAGGTCCCTCCATCAGATCCTGCTCTGCTCCTGACTTGGCCTGGGGTGACTCACAGACCCCAAGCCCACAGAGAAAGGACATTCACTTATCTGGAAGGCTCTTCCCTAACTTCTGAGTAAACAATCATTTTGCAAACTAGTCACATTTGAGGGCATTTTCAATTCAGGAAGCTAGGAGAATGGAAGAGGCTTAAGTTATTTCATAATCCAGTTTCATTAGATTTACTGTGCACTGGCATGAATAAGTTACAGAGGGGAGACACATAAAAATCAATTTCTTTGCAGACATTTGTGGACTGATAACAGATCAAGCCAATCAAGCTATTAAAGTTTTAAACTTTTTTAAAACTCCGAACAATACAAGTTACACACTGCTGACATTCCCCCTAACGAAGGGCCTGTCGGAGAACTCACTCGCCAGTCATCCTATCCTGGAGCATAACCCTCTGAGCTAACTTCGGAACCAGTTGCTACTCTACAGGAGAGACTCCAGAAAGCCAATACCTGAGGGCCAGAGCCTGGCAGCTCACTGCTGAGAGAGAGGCACAATAGGACATGCCAGATTGTAAAGACAGCAGACAAGGAGAAGTGTATGGCTCAGATCTAGCCAGCATGCATTTATTGAGCACTTACTGTGTGCCCACCCTGGGCCAGGTGTGTCATTAAATCCTCACAGCACAAAGCAAATCTCTTAGTACACACAAAAGCTCTAGAGAAATAACAAAGATGGAGTTTGCTCCACAAGCGAGTTCCATGTACACGGTGATCTTACAAAGCAGCAGGATTTGAACACACAGATACCACACAGACTTGCCTTGTTCTTTCCTGTAGTCTCCCTCAGTGGCTCCCGACTCAATTACTATACGTGGAGTTCACCAATACCACCAGGAACATACAAATCCACATTATGTTGGTAGTCAAGCAAAGTAAGGGGTTTTCAGGGATCTTTTTTGTCTCGGTGCAATTTCTGCCGGGAAGTGCTGACTGAGATCCTAACCCACATATGACACACGATTCCACTGTATGTTCTTGGTGGCACCTGCACTACAGTTTTGCTCTCACTTTTTTTTTTTTTTTTTTGCAGTACACTTTGCTCTCCTGAGGGAGTAGGGAGTTTGGCCCCTACCTCATTGGCTCCGACAGAGCTGATCACACAGCTCAGCTTCTGGTTGTCCTTTGACTCCAGATAGATGGCCTGGCTCTTGTGGTACCTGCCAAAAACATGACACAAGTTTATGTATGTGTTTAGTCACTTTATCAAGGTTAAGACTGACATGCAAAAAAAAAAAAAAAGCCATACATCTTTAATTTATAACTCGATGAGTCTGGGGATAAGTATATACACCCGTGAAATCATTACCACAATGAACATATCCATCTGCTCCCAAAAGTCTCCTCCTGCCCTCTTCAGCAGAATTATTTGTTGTTGTTTTTTCTTTTGTAGAAAGAACACTATGCGTAAGAGCTATGCTCTTAAATTCTAAATCAATAATACAGTATTGTTCACGGCACCAGTTTTTAAAAAGAAAAAAGGGAAGGAAAGAAAAACACCACCACAAAGAATATAATTAAGAGTCTTAATTTACATTTGAGGAAGAGTGTGGGTTTCAGATTTAGTTTGAAGGCCTCCATCCTTCGACTGGATCAGATGACCTCCTCACCTCCTCCTAATCTAAAGCGTATATTCCTTGGTCCCTCTGCAGTGGGAAAAAGGAGGCAGGGGAAAAGCTGGGAAGCTAACTCCATATTTACTTTTTATTTGGACTATACATCACAATTCAATCAAAAAGTAAATTACAATTTTTCAAAGTAAAACTTGTTCCTGCTTTTCACCCATCCCAAAACACTGGAGAAACTTGAGTGGACGAAATAAATAGAAGGGGTTTGAACGACAGACCTAGTATTTATTTTCAACATGTCCAAATTAAGTCATCCACACTAAGGTAGGCCAAATTCAAGTCTTTCTCTGGTCACTCATTCAGCAAATACTCATTCATCACTTACTGTGCGGCACTGAGGATGCTGGAGGTTGGAAGTGGACAGAGAACAGGACCACAAGGTCCCTGCGATCACACAGCTTCAAATACAGCAGCCGAGAAGAACACGGAGTATCATACCTGGGGAGCACTAACCAGGCGAGGTTCGGAGCGGCCGGGTGTGCACCGCAGGGGCTCTGATTTGGCCTGGCCAGTCGGGAGAGCTGCCTTGCATGGAGCAGACCAGACAGGCACTCCGTTTCCGCCCCAGTGGCCATCCTCTTGGCCTGTAGCACAGGATCACCTTCAACTGCTACAAGCTCAGGGATAAGGCCGAGGTTCAAAGTGAGGAAGCCAGGCCCAAAGCCCAAACGAGACAACAGCAGCTGCCACAGGATGAAGGAGCAGCTGCTGGACTGCAAGAGCTGGAAACAGGAGCCGAGCTGCTGCTGGCAGCCCTGGCCGGGGCCAGCCGCAGTCAGGCAGGAACATAACCTCTGGTTCATTCTGGCTGCACAGACCCACTAACTCATGTAAATTCTACCAAAATGCATCTCCCAGCAAAGTACTGCATTTTATCATTATTTCTGTAGGGGAAAAGGCAGACTGTTTCTGCTGGTGTAATGAAATAATCTACTGCCAGGACATCACAGTAAAGAGATGTACTTCACTCCCACAATAAGCTTTTTCCAATCTAGGTTCTAAGCACTCTTTAGCCTGCTACTTAGGAGCTGAAAACTCAGGTTTCCAACTCAATTTACTTCCTGAAAACACTGTTAAAAGAAATCGAATCATAAATGCAATTAGAACAGCGAGATTGGGTTAGACTCAGCTTTAAAGTTGCTTTTGGCCAGAGATCAGTTGGTAAACTGGGTCAGGGGACTTTCATTATGCTAAATGTGTAATATCGCAAGGTCTGAAGTATACAGTACATGAGGAAAGGCTGAATTAGTTCACAGCGTGACTCAAAAATTCCAGTTTCCCTCCCACATCTAAGCCAACTTTCTTATGTAAACACTAACATCTCGAGTGATGGTTCGAGTAAAATTACAAAGCGGGAGAACATCTGAAGTTATTCTATGGGGATTAGAGTTATTAAAGAGCTAAAGACACAAAGCATGCACATAGCCTCATGTCATTCTGAAAGTATTTCCCAAATACTTTAATAAAGAAAGGTCACAGTGTGGTAAAGGAGTATGTTACTAGTTTAGAGACATGCTCAGCATACTGCTAAGCAGAGGGGGGAAATCTATGCCCATTACGTTCCTGTGCTTGTAAAAAAACATATGCATGTTACGTGTGTATCACACACACAGAAAAAATTGGGTAAAGTTACGTAGTTAAGATGTATAATAAAACGTGTATTACAACTTTACGGAAATAGGAAATATAAATTAAGAACAGTATTCTTTCTATTGAATGGCTTTCTTTTCTCTGAATTAAGGTATTACTCATATTAAAAACTAAGTAAGTCATGGTTCTGAAAAATACCTAAATAACAAAGAAGGGTAAAGATAAAACCTCATGTTAAAATTAACATCTTAATGTCTTCAAGGACAAAAGTTAACTCTGGGAGACTAGTCAAACAATTCTCAGGAAATGTGCTGCATTTTACTTCAGATGTGTGCAGAACCCAAACCCCAACACCTTGGGCTGACCTTAAAATGAATACCAGAAATAAACAATGAGATCTCATCTATAACCACCCGCCAACCCCAGAAGTTGTCTGGGACCTGAGCATCTGGCCACCTCCCCAGTCTGCCTGCTTTGGGGTAACCAAATGGTGGTAGCTTGAATGTCCACCATTGGTCACCATCTGCTCCAGAGGAGAGCTGGTCTGTGTGTTTCCCAAAGCACCCCCCCTCCAAGCCAATGGACTCCCAGATCTTCCTGAACCAGAGTCTCACGCAACACACAACAGTCTTAGGGAATACAGGTTATCCCTGGATACCAAATCTATTCAACTATCTGAATTCTCTGGAAGAAGAAAAAAAAAATCCTCAAAAATCAGCACTCGTATTTTCAAGATGAAACTAAAACGTATAGGTCGACCCTCACATACAAATTTACTTTTTAATTGCTAAAGACTAATAAAAGAGGGAGAGAGAATTTAAAATAAATATAGACATAAAAACTGTTAAAAAGCACCAACAATAGAACTAAAAATGTACATTATCACTTTTGCCAATTAACCCATTTTATAAGCTGCAACTCATCTCAGATGGAAAAAAAAATACCTTTAAATAGCCTCAGAGAACAAGCCACAAAAATCGAACTGACTTTATTACTTTATTACTAATGGAAATCCTGACCTGGGAATCCGACAAATGAGCTCTTAGAGCTTTGCTTCTACTATTAAACCCAATGAACTAGAATCAACAGTAGTACTATTATGGAAGAAAGCAATTTCTTCAAAAGGTGGGTCAAAAAGGAGGGGGTAGGATTAATTTAATTTTGTATCCTACTGGGAATCCTGATATCAACGTTTTATTTCCCAAAAAAACCTGAATACCATGTTAAAGCTCTGGAACCTCAAGGGGTCCCAATGCCAGTTGTAAATATTCGCCGTTTAAGAGTCTTTGTCAGTTGAAGGCTGGAAGAAGTGGGGGGGCGGGGGGGCTTCATTCCTGATTCACATTAGCAGCCCAAGATTTAAAGTGAGGAGAGATAAACCAGTCTGCGAGCACCATCAGCTAGTTATTTTAAAATATCAGCTACTTTACTGGTACTATCTAAGAAGGGTCATTAGTCCAAATCAAAATGTGAGGAAAACTTACAGCAGGACATAAAATGCCTTAAAAACACTACCAGACCAAGGCAAAGAGAAGATGCTTATCTTTCAAAATGAAATGTAGCTTGGTAAGTGTTCATGCCAAGATGGGAAGCCTGAATCACACTCATTTTGCTGAAGTCATTTGAAACTCAATGAAACACGTTTCGCCAGAAGTACCATTGCACACAAATACTCCATCCCACCGGAGTGAGCATAAAGCGGTTCACTTGCTCTCTCAGCCACAGGCCGTGACTGGCAAAAAAGAAGGAAGAATGAAAGCCTCCCAGCTGACAGGACACTAAGATGAAACATCAAGTTGAGACTGGTGGGAGAGGAGGCCAGCTATGCAGTGGTCAGAGCGTGGGCCAGGACCCGCATGAACACCTTCCGTATGTGGCAGGAAAGGAGAGACACACCTTCCCACAAATGTGTCATCAACTCTGACTCCCAAGGCTAAAAGGAAAACCACAGAATACAGATGAAAACAACAGCTTCCATGCTCAACAATATGCAACTTGAAACTCACTGAAAAAGGAAAATGCTAAAGAGACCTTCTTTTCAGAATTTCTGCAGCCCCTATGAGAAAGACAGCGAAATTCACTCTAAATGCTCCGGAGATCTAGCACAGCAAACGTGACCACTCTATTTACATTATGAAACACCAGGCACCAGGGATCCCTTCTTTAGAAAAACAAGAATTTTCTCCTACTGCATTTTCACCCTCAAGACAAGTCTCAAAGTCTAAAAATTAAGCCTTAGAAAGAAGATCTGAAGCAACGCAACTACAAAATGAACATCATGTGAAATATCACATAGCTTTAAGACTCACAGATCCGTAAAAACGTTAGTGATAAATCTCATCATTTTTGAAGACGGCTCGTATGTGCGGGCTTGATCTTTAAAGGTTATTTGGTTTTCATTATTAGAAACATTTTTCATGTTCTTTTGCCCCCTCGGTGTGTTGCACTGTTAGACCCTGCCACCTAGTGGTGATTTGTTCTGATAAGCAAAGTCAAGAAACACTCACAGGCCCTTTTGAAGAAAGTGAAATAGTCAAATGAGAGGGGCAGAAGTCACGAAGATCAGGCTCACAGACAGAGGCAGGCTTCACCATCTCCGGGGTAATTAACTCAACTGTAACCGAATATTTTGGGGGGACGGATTTATTTCAGGGAAGACTAGATTTCTGAGCATTTCTACCAACTTCGGAAGGGTAATATTTTAAGGTAATAAACTAACAATCTTGGGGTTTTTCTTTTTTAACAAAGCTCAAACAATTCAAAAGAACTGTTACTCTAATTCTGGAACTTTAGGTTAACAGATTGAAACTCAAAAGATCATTAAAAATGATGGTGATCATAAATGAGAACTACAGTTCTGCAGTTACACAGTAACTGCAGATAAGCAGGCACCGTAAAAACAAGCGGAAATCCAGAATGCAAATGTGTCCACCATGACGTAAACTGCAGAGGGACAATGAATAAAAGAATAGGTCAGAATTAAAGGAGCTGTGACAAGGAGGTAGGACATGGGGCTTAACACCTAGCAGAATCTGGGGGTACAGAGCAGACAGTAATGTTTGCTGAATGAGTAAGTAAATGAGTTTCTAAGTCTAACATTGCTTGACCATTTCCTTCCCAATGGAAACGCTGGTGGTCTGAAGATTTTAAAGTGTTTTTATTCTCAAATATTTCTGGCATATTAAAAACCTAATGTAACATACCTATATAGTCGCATGCAACTAAGAATTAAAATTTTACAAAAAGCAGTTAAAAAAAACAAACAAACTAGTAATGTTTTAGGATTCAGTTTCCCCAAGTACGTTTCCTGGAATGCTCATATAGCAGGATGAAGCACCACAAAGGGTACCCTGGGTCAAATAAGTAATACCTGACTTCGCAGAAATACACAGCACACATGAGCCTAGCAGAGAACCCAAAGAGCACCTACAGCAAAGAAACTCTTTGGTTTAACTAGCATGGTCCTCCCCCAGACTCATCTGACCACAAAATGTTTTTTTCTACAGAACACCTATTAATTTTAGTGCGCAAAGGCAGAGTTAAGATAGAGAGAGACATAAACCCTGGCCTCAGTCTACAGGGGCAGCACCGAAGAGAGAAGCCTGCAAATTCTAGTATTATGCCAACAGCACGGAGAGAGGAGGGCTCCCATCACAAAGTGTGTTCAGGAAACACTGCCTTCAGAGACTGAATGAGTAGTATCGATCAAATGATTCCTGATGCATTTTTTAGTTTGTTTTTTTTTTTAAAGACTTTACTTATTAGAGAGATGGAGAGAGAGCACAAGTAGACAGAGCAGCAGGCAGTGGCAGAGGGAGAAGCAGGCTCCCTGCCGAGCAGGGAGCCTGATGCAGGGCTTGATCCCAGGACCCTGGGATCATGACCTGAGCCGAAGGCAGCCGCTTAACCAACCGAGCCACCCAGGTGCCCATTTTTTTTTTTTTTTTAAATGCAAGCTCTATGCCCAACATGAGGCTTGAACTCCTGACCTTGAAAGCAATAGTCACATGCTCCCCTGAGCTAGCCAGGCTCCCCTGTCCTAACTCACTTTGAAATGTTATTCCACTTCCGTACTATGTAAGCTAAGCAGCAGCCATGCTCAGGAACAATGAGACAGAGCCCCAGTGCTCTTTCCAAGGGGGTTCTTTTGAGACTCTTAACGAATCATCTGTGTTTTTCCATAACATACCATCTTTTATCATAGTACAGTTTCCCATCTTCTATTCGAGCTTCGAATCTCTGAGCTGGAGACTCTGACGGGGTGGCAGGTAAGTGTTCAGGAGAGGACGGGGATGCTGGAGGTACCAAAGATATGTCAATGATTAAACGTGTAACAATCGTGGACCCAACAACTAACATGCTTTAATTGAAATGCTATCAAAAAGTGGTAATAATCATGATCATTAAGTCCTTAGGGGTGTAAAGATGAGAACTCCACAAAATTCTTGTATATTACGCCTAACTTGCTGCTCAACCCAACCCCGTGAGGTAAGCAAGGCAAAGCTTAACCTCACTGAACAGAGGAGAAACCGGGGATACCGGCAGGCTAAGTGATTTGCCCACGTGACCACTGGAAGCCCAGAAAGGCAGGAATTAGGACAATCTCCTTAAAATTATTAATCCGAAGTCATTTTTTAAAACTGTTTATTACTAGGTAAAACAGACTATCATGTATGTACAGAGTCAAGCTAATATAGTGCTAATAAGTACAGTAGGTTCAAAGGATCTCAATTCACACAACTTCCGTAACACCTCCCCCCCACCCCCCACATCATGCCTTCAGAAACACGGGACCTCTCTGAGGACCACGGTGGCTCTCAGAAGGAAATTGTTCAGAGAAAAAAGGATCCTGTTTCCTTCCACAAGGCTTGGTGAGTAGACAGACATGTAAGTAATCCTGGTGCTTAAAACGTAACAATGCCTTGCCCATCCAGAATTCTGTTTTGCAGCCTAGCACTGACTCTCAAGTGCCACTCTGGAAGGAACCACTGTGAACCTGGGCCGTCCTCTTCTGTAAGCTGGGACTGTGAGTCCCTCACCAGAACCAGGCCACGAAGTGCCACAGGAACAGGGGCACCCAGCACTTAACTTCACAAGACAAGGAATACTGAAAAATCCTTCTGGTTTCATTTCCAGAAATGTAGGTGTGCTTAAATCTTATGCCTGATGCCTACACAGAAGAAAACCTTTACCAGCCTATCAATCAAATGTCTCTTTTACAAGAAATGAAGGAAAAAGTAAAAATAACTTTAATATAGCAGGGCTTTAAAAAAAAAAAAAAATCAGGGGAGGGGGCACCTAAGGTTCCCTTCAGTTTTCATGATGACTACTCTTAGACAAATGATGAGCATTTTTATTTTTGAAAATTGCAACAACTCCCTGTCGGGTATAAGCATGCTTTTCCCACAACATGATAAAAAAAAAAAAAAAAAAAAAAAAGAACTCAAAAAAACCAGCAACACTATGCACTTACCTGGTCTCTTGGGTGACTTAAGCTGTAGGAAGAACAACAAGAAATCTTAGTGCAGATCATTTCAGATGCAACACAAAGTGTCAAAGGTATCAAAACGATTTAACAAGTAACATGTGAAGGACACAAGCCTAAACTTTCAAATAAATTAAAAAAAAAAAAAATCAAACTGTACCTTATTTAACGTTCTCAGATCCTCCATGATCTGTTCGTCTGTTAACAAATAGTTTAGCTGGGGTGTTGAGAGTTAAAGGAACGTGTCTGAGAAGCATGGTTTCTAAGCAAGCAGAAATCAACAAAATGGTACCAGGTTTTTAGGATTCACAGTGTGATTCTGTCAGATGCGGTTTCTATAGCAGTTTGCCTCTCGGAAGCCGCTGATTCTACTAAATGTCGTGGTGCCCAGGTACATAAAAGAATGCACAAATTTCTTTCAAACATCTCTAAGTCATTCAGTAAGTCCCAGAATGAGAGCACAGGACACAGTACAAGGAGACCTTCCTCCTCAATTTATGAAGTGCTCTTGTTCCAAAGACCAGAAGCCTTGCACACGTGTGTGTATGCACACACACACACACATACACACAGAGGTGGGCTTATTCTTCCTACGTAACTTAAACCCTCAGTTGTGAAGACAAAGGAACCTGAAGTTAAACCCTCTCTTGGGAGAAGACAGCTGAATCATTTTGTATAAATGGCTACTTACTCTCTCCTCAAGAGAACAGAAAAAGAATTTTGTGATGTGTGTCCTGCTTCCCCCTCTCGTTTTTACGATTAAAGGCCTTTTTTATGTGACTGAAATCTCATTTGCTTTAATTTAACAACTTGTGTTCCACGGTCTTCGGGATATAGGTAATGGAGGTACAAAAGGCAGGTGTTACTGGCCTGGTTCTACAAGTAGAAAAATAAAGGCACATGAAATCTGAGGTCGCCTTAAATCTCCAAATGTTAAAACCAGGATGAACTTCCAGAAAAGTGCACTTCCAAATAACTGCTCTCTACAAACGCCGTCCATTAGAAGCAGTGGCAATCGAGATCCATAATAAAATGGCCATTCCCAGGGCGCCTGGGTGGCTCAATCAGTTAAGCAGCCGACTCTTTTTTTTTTTTTTTTTTTAAAGATTTTATTTATTTATTTGTCAGAGACAGAGGGAGAGAGAGAGCGAGCGAGCACAGGCAGACAGAGGCAGAGGGAGAAGCAGGCTCCCTGCCGAGCAAGGAGCCCGATGTGGGACTCGATCCCAGGACGCTGGGATCATGACCTGAGCCGAAGGCAGCCGCTTAACCAACTGAGCCACCCAGGCGTCCCAAGCAGCCGACTCTTTTGGGCTCTGGTCTGATCTTAGAGTCACGGGACTGAGCCCCACACTGGGCTCTATTCTTAGCAGGGAGCCTGCCTGGGATTCTCTCTCCCTGGCCCACTGCCCCTCCTGCTTGTGCTCATGTTTGCAAGCGCTCTCCCTCTCTCTCAAATAAATAAATCTTTTTAAAAAAATTGGCTATTCCTTAGCTCAGGGATAAATACACATGCCTGCCAACCACACACGATTTCCGTAGGACAATGGCCATGTATATTCTAGCAAATGGATAAGCAAAGGATTCAATAGTCTTAAGAAAAAAACCAGTTATGCAAATGGATATCAGGAGCGGGTTTTCTCCTCTTGTCTGGGATGGGGACAGGATCATTTGGTCGCCTCCGCAACTTTCTGGTCATGATGGGTTTCACTTCCATAGAATCTGTGGCAAGAATTGAATGGGTAAATCTATCCAACTCCCACTTGAAGTAAGAATCGCTGTACTGTAAGAAAAGCTGCCCCACAGCCACCCAATCAGAACTGTTTTAATGGGAACATCTGGTTCACACGGGGCCTAAGGCAGACACCCATATCAGATGTTCGGGTGAGGGCCTGTGTTTAGAAGACTCGGATTGGCTGGCCTAAGTGCTCGCCCCTCTCAGAAACGCTGCACAGTTGTGCAGTCTACCTGTGCAAGCAACTCTCCAGCATCCTGTAAACTAGGACCTTCCTCCTCTTCCCTCAAATTCAGAAGCCACAGAGTGGTAGGCTCTTGGGATCAGAAGGAACCTTTGGATCATCTAGGTCAACTAATTCCTGCTGTTCTCACGGAGGGAGGGACAACTGAAGCACACTCGTGCACAAGACCGAGAGGCCACTGGCCTCGGTGCCAACAGCTTTATAGGATGTGGTCATTTACAACCTTGGACTCTTTTGTTTTGTTTTATAACCTCTCGTAGCTACCTGTCAAGAATGATCTAATGAAGGCTCATAATAAAGTCTCTTCCATTCTTCTTGACTTCTCTCTGCAGTCTGCACTGTTGCTGACTCTCTTTGCCTTAAAATCTCTCCTCCCCAGCCGCCACTGCACAGAGCTCTCGTCTCCTGATCTGCTCCCTTAGGCTCCTTTCCGCTGGTGCCCACTGGAGTCCAGTCAGGTTTCAGCCTGTGTCCCAGTAAGCCTCTATCACCGATGCCAGCTGCCCCAACCTTCTGAATGGCAACCTATGCCCACTGACACCATCCATCCTGAATGACCCAAGTGACCACACTTCGTGTCTCACCTCCCAGGGCTGCCTCCTCTCCCATGTCTCGGGGGCATCTCATCTGTCCATCTTCCCCAGCCAGAACAGAATCTGTCATTGTGACTTATCATCTTCCTTCCCCGAAACGTCATAGTCACCCGATCATGGACAGTTTTGCTGTTAAACCACCTCTCAACTCCATCCCCTCCTCCTATCCTCACCTCCCACAGAGCAATCTCCCTAAGACACAAATCAGATCATTCTACACATCCCCCTTCTTATTCAATACTTTTATGGCTCACCACGCTCTACAGAAAATAGGCCAAGTCTCTCACCCAAGGTCACCTGCCTTACTATGTATGTCCTCAAGCCTTTACACACCGTCACCTCTGCCTGGCCCCCTCTTTTCTGCCCAGCATACTCCTACACAACATCCCTTGAGAGCCAGCTCAATGCTCCCTGTCCCATGATGGCTTCCAGAGTCACACCATCTTCCAAGCAACCAGCGCAAACCTCTGTACAAAGCTCTGGCTAGCAAGCCCCACGTTGTATGGGACATTTTCCCCCGAAATTCCTAAATTCCACCCCAGCACCTCACAATAGTTCAGGCACACAGTACGGGCTCTACGGAGTTTTCTGCAGAACAACTAGATGACGTCAAGCCTGACAGTATCATTCATTCATGACCATACGTACTATCAGCACAGCAGACAGAACAACCTTACGGAATTCAAGTGTAGCCCTTCCACCACAGCAAGGTGCACAATCTGTGAATATATAATAATCACATGTACGAAGTCAAAAGATACTTCTTTGTGTTGCTCTTATAAAGGGAAATGGGTAACAATGGTTTTTTTACCCCCTATCAGTGGAAGGTAAGTGATGAGAACCACAGACCTGATGAGTATTTGTAAAGGTATATGGGGGAGGGGCGCCTGGGAGGCTCAGTGGGTTAAAGCCTCTGCCTTCAGCTCAGGTCATGATTCCAGGGTCCTGGGATCGAGTCCCCCGCATCGGGCTCTCTGCTCAGCAGGGAGCCTGCTTCCTCCTCTCTCTGCCTGCCTCTCTGCCTACTTGTGACCTCTGTCAAATAAATAAATAAAAATCTTAAAAAAAAAAAGTATACAGGGGAGTGGGGGCATGAGGAAGTAGGACAAACACACTCACCCCTGAGAAAAAGTGAAGAGACAGTCATCCCCTCTACCAGCAATCTCTCGCCCTCAACCACGCTGGCACACTTCTCCACTAACTTACAGGCGGCAGTCGTGACTCCCTGCTGCAGCTGCGTGACCTAAGGCAGGCCACGTAAACACTTGTCTCAACTTTCTTCATAAAACAGAATTATCGGTAATGCTTCCCCCACAGGATGTTGGGAGGGTTACGGGAGCTGATACCAGTAAAGCCCTAAACACGATGCCTGGCGTAGCAAGAGTTCAATCAATGCTAGTTTTATCGCGTCTGCAGCCAAGAAAACACTATACAAAAATCCCTTTAAAAAGCCAAGGGGCAAACAGCTGAATGAAGTTACATACTTGACAAGTGACATCAGCTCTGAGGCTCTGCAACATTCACGCCTAATTCAGAAAACAAGGTGTGAAAGGAGCTCACCAAACCCGAAGACCACTAGAGAAAGAGCACCGAGCACGAGGACGTCATGGAATGTTCTAGTCACTGAAGACAATGGCCCAGTGTGCCCTGCCCTCTGGGCAGCCAAGTCTGGGGGGTGGGGAAGGTGGGCAATACTTGATAGGAAGTAAGCCAAGTAAAGGCACAGCTGAGAGAATGTGGGAGTAACGCAGTCTTACCATGGCCAATAAGCTCAGAAAATCATAGCTGCATCACTCATAGATCAGAATATATAATCGAATTCTTCTTAGGAAATAGTGAAAATTGATCCATTTTACTAGCCTAGTCACCACAATAACCTAATCAATTTTCATCCAAAAGACAACTTCAGCAGAAGGAAGGTGCTCTGAATAACACCTCTGAAATGTAATGGCCTGTCCCCACCACCATCCAGGAGAGTGGGGAGCAGGCCTGGCCATGGTCCACGTGGAAGATGTGACTTGTAGGGAAGACCGCCATATAAGTATCACAGCCCCAAACTACACAAATTACCTACTCCACTCACTTTGCTCCAACCTCCTGCGATTACATTTTTCACAGAGGGGAAAGGATATCGGACTACCTGGGTCTGAACCCACCTAGAAGTTCCACTTCTCACGAGAAGCAAGAGGCTGGCCTTCTGAGTCTATAATATCAACGTCCCTGGAGTTTGGCCAGCGAGAGTCCCAGTGGGCTCAATCTGGATCCACCACAAAAATCAAACTTCCGAGAGTAAAACCCCGACCTTGGAGCATGGCAGCCCTGGAGAAGGCACTTGAGCAGGAAGTCAGCTGGCCTCGCAGACAAGCCCAACACAACTGACTTACGTCAGAAAGCCTCTCAGAAAACCCAAGACCTTTTATGGGTCCAAGTGAACATCAACAGTGACCCAGCTGAGCACCCAACACACCAGAGGCAGGAGGAAGAGGAGACAGAACACTGAATGAGTGCTCCTCTCCCAACCACCTTGTCTACGTGACAATAGTGCAAGTCCTTCCTACTCTGCTCACCGGCGAGGCCAGCGGGAACGGCCTCCCGACAGACACAGGCACCCTCCAGGTAGCACGGGGCATGCTGGCTACGAAATGGGACGCAGGCTGCGCCAGTGCTGGGCAGAGCCATTAAAGCACCGTCCCTATGGAGACATATTCCCGATAACATTAATTACCTGCAATTACCATACAATTAGCACTTCCCTGCTGGCCTTGGGTTCCACACTTCTCTGGACCTAGTCATTCACTCCAACAGCTTATGGGCCTACGGCACATAAATGCAGTAAAAGCTTCACAAGAACATAGTTTAACTACTAAAACCAAACACTTGTTTAGCCACTGAAAAATACCAGCTACAGTGATTCAGAGGAGCATCCTTAAGAATGCTGGGGCACCAGGTGACTCAGTCAGTTGAGCATCCGACTCCTGGCTTCAGCTCAGGTCATATTTCAGGGTCCTGAGATCAGAGTCCTGAGCTGTGCTCCGCACTCAGCGGGGAGTCTGCTTGCGTTTCTCTCCCTCTGCTTCTCCCCACCCCTTCCAATGGTGGTTTGTGCTAATTAAAAAAAAAAAAAAAAAAAGCCACTGCAGTGTAACCACTACAGCCGATTGGCAATTGCCCCCAAACCTGAAGCAGGGCATCATGGGGCGAGCCCAGTGGCCCAGAGCAAAGCCCAGGCCCCTCCCTCAGGGGTTGGGAGGGGCTCATCCACTTCAGGAACGGTGCTGCGGGCGCTGGTAGGAGACGGGTGGGGCGAGGTGAGAGAAGAATCAGGGTCAGGTCTTCAGCGACCAACCAGGGTAGGAGCGAAGGGCCCCATCTCCCTCGGGACAAAGCTCTCCGGAGAATAAGGATGGTGTCAAGACAGCGAACTTCCTCTGAAAACACCTCAATTCCACAATGGCAGCACCGTCTTGGGGACAAGCCCGCTCCACCCAAAGTCCAGGTCACCTCTTCCACTCTCCCCAGCCAGGTATTTCATGGGGACTCTTCTCCTTGCCTGGACTTCCAAGGTTCCTACTCACTGGCATCTGTTCCTCATTGTGGGAAACCACGCCCGCATCAGAACAACCCCAGAGACCTCCATCAGGTTTTACGATTAGTAAAAACAAACCTGAGAAATCTTCACCTCCATTTAGGAGTATGCTCTGTGGACACCGTCTTACACTGGGCAAGACGAAGAAGCTGTGTCAGTCTTGTAACTAGGAGAATACAAGCTCCCTGAGGACACAGTCCTTACCTACTAGCCTCATTTTATGAATCACTCAGTAGCACACGAATCCACAGTAATTCCACGGTAGAAAGTCAGTTATCATGTGGTGGGTAAGACCAATTCTGGCTTACGCACTACCACGCTGGGGCACTTTGAATAGATGCCTCCGTTCCTCTGAGGCCGCTTTGCCAAGTCAGGTCAAAGGACCTTACAACTTCCCTAAGTGCTTACTCTATGTGCCAGCTGCTTCTTGAAGCACCTCACAGGCACTGTCTCACCCCATCTTTGCACCAGACCTCCAAAGCAGATTGTACCGTCTCCTTCCTAAATAAGAAAACCCCACCACAGAACCAAGTTCATGACAGGGCCAGGATCCGTCCACATCTATCAGCCTACCAAGGCAGTTCTCATACTTTCATGAAACACCTGGCTCGAGGGACGTACTCAGGAAGCAGTCCTTTAACGTTATATTTTGAGATCATAATTTTGATTTTAGTATTATAAGTACTCATGGCTCCAGGTATGAATCCACTTATCTTCTAAGGGAAACTCACAGGCTTGATGAGGTCTTGAGTAACTGCCACAGGGGCCTGAGGGTTGGAAGATGCCCCAGAGAGGCAAAAATTTACAAAAGAAAATGAAGTAGTGGTTGGCGGGCTGTTGAGACAAAGGAGAAAATAGAGCTATCCTCAAGACAGAAGAGGACAGATGGATAAAGAACGATAAAGCTCCCCACACTTGAAAGCTCGTTAAGTTCACACTGATTAACTGGGTTACTTACCACCTTGGCCTCAACTTCAGAGAAAACTCACACTCGGGAAATTCCACCTATACCCTCACTACTCAGTGTGGTCCAGCAGACAGCATCAGCAGCCCCTGGCCGGCGGCTAGAAATCGCAGGCTTTACTCCGGACCCGCTGAAGCAGCAGCCGCCTGTCATCGAGACCCCCAGCTGACTCACACACACCCCCAAGGTGGGGGAGCACTGATCGAGAATCCACCCCGGTCTCCTTACCGACAGGACGCCTTTCCACCTGCACAACCCGCTGTCCTGAGTTCTTCTCAAGCGGCATGGGCAGTGGAGAGAACCTTCCACTAACTCCCGCAGAGTCTGCGAATGCTTTCAGGGCCCTTCACACAAAGCAGATCACTTGATCCCCCCATTCCCAATGGGTTATTTGGTCTACGCGTCCCATCAGACTCTAAATCAACGTTGTTTTTCGAAAGATCTTCACATGGAACCAGAAGAAGAGATTTTATGAAATATCTTTTCTGGGCAGAGCCAGGCAACGCGGAGATTGGGCATCAATCCACAAAGGTGAAATCAGTCAGTCAAGGAGAGGAATGAAATCAGGCCTTTAATCCAGCACCATAGCAGCACCATCTGTGGAAACGCTAATTATCCTTCTAGCTCCACTGCCTTTTCTTCCGACACTCTATCATTACCTTGGCACAGCTTTCCATACCAAGGGTACCAAATGGCTTGAGGAAGGACATTGGTACCTTTAATGCCCGTGGCTAGCTTTAAGCATTTGTGTAATCTATTTTACTGCGTTACAAATGACTTCCCTGCATTTATTTGTCTTTTCTACCCTGGCAGGCTCAGCCTCCAGTCACTGGGGAGGCCTCCTGTCCCAGTTAAGATTCTGGCTGCAAAACGGCCTGGCCAAACAATGTCGATCGCTTGTCAATAAGCAGGATGCGAAATCACAGGTGAGGTGAGGATATCTTTCCCTGCAGATGGAAAGGGAGCAGCTATAAACCGACACTATTTCCCACCAGCCTAATGAAGACTCCTGAACATCTGGTGGCTCCAGCAGAGAGCGATGAGGCATCAACGCCAGAAACAGCCATCGTCAAAGAAAATGGTGTCCAGGTCAGAAAACAGGCAGGCAGACTGGTACCAAACAAGGGAGCATCGTGCTAGCGGGCTCATCAACAAAGCGTGGCCACAAGAACAAGACAGTGCTGTCTGGAGATGCTAGTTTAACATCCACTCTCACCAAAAAAAAAAAAAAAAAAAAAAAAAAAAACATTTCTAAGCCGCTTGCAGAGGCCTTCAAGGAATTAATTCCTTCTGCCAAGTCTTTCAAGGAGAGAGATACCAGAAGAGAGATTTTTCAAGAATCAGACCCCTGCCCCCACCCACTTCAGACACACCACATTCTCACAGGTACATCATGGGGGTTGGGGCCAGACGTTTATGTCAATCCAAGGGCCGTGTTGGGTCACAGCACCAGAAATACAGAAGAGGAAACACTACTTCTCAACTCTTACTTTTTAAGTCCGCCCCCAAGGACTTCATCTGAAAACAATGCATCTCTTATGGACGTCTGTTAAAACGAGACATGCCAGAGCTACAGCACCTTCTGCACACGGTAAGAGTGAAATGTGAGGGTGTGCAGAAGGCATGCAGGTGCCTTCTGTCTTGAGGATAGCTCCGTTTTCTCCTTTGTCTCAACAGCCCGCCAGGTGACAAACTCCCCACTGGCTTGTCTTGCAGTATTCACTGACAGAAATTTTGCCAAGTTCCAAAATACATAGTTTGAGCCACTTCCTGCCCTGCACCCTTCTAGGATTCATCAGTCTACATATGGCAACAGAACAGCCCATATTGTTTCTCCCTTAAACTTGCCTACATACTGCTGAGTTCACGTATGCGGATTACTAAAAACTAGAAGGCAAGGGAGGACTGGCACAGAGTCTAATGTAACTTTACTACCTTTACAGGAAACTAGTTCAGTTTAGCTTACTCCTGCCAAATTTGTACCAACTCTGTCTGAAATGTTCACAGTAACACCTAGGGAAGGGATCTAAGAGCACAGATGATACAGTCTAACACCTTTGTTCTCACATCTAGGTCAAAGGAAGACAATGCCTTCTCTGTAATTAAGGCAGACTGAAAAATACAAAGCAGAGAGATTCCTACCACCCCAGAGGCACTCGGGTAAGTCATCCATGAATGCCAGCTGACCCAGGAATTTGAATAAAGCGTAAGCCAGCAGTTGCAGCCATGACTAAAGGTCTACCATTCACTGAACACCTGTTCCACACAGGGCACTGTGCTAGGCACTCACATTTCTGACCACAGTCCTGTGAGACAAGGTCTGATCAGCCCCATTTTGTAGAGGGGGAAGTAGGCTCAGAGACATTCAGCAGCTTGACTGAAGTCGCACAGCCAATACCACACGGAGCTAGAACTCTGAGCCGTCGGGTCAAAGCCCACCCTCCTTCCGGCTCACTCTGGAGAAGGAACACAGGCAGGACCGCAGCACCCCTCCGGGCCCCACCCAGGGCTCCCGGGATCCCGCCCTGGGGTGCTTTCATACCTCCCGTCAGCTCCATAGTCAGCTTTTCATTTTCGATCATTTTCTTCTTCTCCTCTAGCTCAGCAATCAGGTTCTCCTTCAGCTCTACCTTCTTATCTTCAAATTCTTTCACCGCTGCTTTCTTTTCTTTAATGTAGTTTCTCTCCACCTGTTCAGTCTGAGCGAAAGAGAAACACAGGCTAGGGCTCCGTGAGGCCCTTGCAACCAGAGCTCCAACTCCAAGCCTGACTCTGCACTCGGGAGCCCAGAAAATACCTTTACGAGAAATGTGGGAGAGCGGCCCTCACACGTGCACTGGCAGTAGTGAGACGTCTGGGAACGAGTTTCCCCATGAATGCGTAAAACTGAACCACACGACTTCTGCTTGTCTTTACGAGCGTACCCCCCTTGCTACTCAGTATTTCCTCTCTCCCACCTCTTACACTGCATGGCTTCTATGTTAATAGAACTTAAGACTCTCAAAGACACACTCTTTTAAAGCCACAATTTTGGAGGAAAACAGTATATTCCGGTTGTAATACCTACATTCAAAATTCATTGCAATTACAAAATACTGAGTCAAGGTGGCCCAAGTTACTGTATTTGTTGGTATTTACGCCAAAATGAAGATCAGCTAAAATAGAAGATCATCTATTAGGTACCCCTGAACCCTCAAGTACTCAAACACTGAAATACCAAATAAAAAAAGCGTTCATTTTTCAAATCTCACCATCGTATTAAATGAAGAACAAGGCCGCTTATGGTGGGCCACAGCTGGGGATCCCATAATCCTGCGGGCTGTGACAATGCGTGCTGCACTGACTTCAGAGTAAAATGGTGTCTGATAACGTGCTCTGTTAAAGCATGACCTTCTCACACGCCTGTGTGGCTCTGATAAAGATGGGACCTCCCCACACCTACACACTAGCCATCCCAGGAAGAGATCATCATCCAAGATTCAGGCCCCCATCTCTGTACCACCACACTATGCTTCACTTAGCAACACTTAGATGTCTGCTGAAGGAAAGCAAAAATGTTAAATCCGTCTTTCCTACTGACCCAGACAGCTTCAGCTGTAAAACCTGAACCACTGAGCCAATTCAGAGGCTGGGCTGCGTCAAGGACCAATATAACAAATTATTAGACCGTTATAATTCAGACATACTCCTGGGCGGCTTTAACGTGAGATAAAAGTCAACAAGAAAGCAGTGAGAGGCGAGCATCCCCTAGTGTCCTGTGACAAGCAGAGGCTATTCAACCTACAAATGAATAGATGGGAATTTCCAAATTGAGACCCAACATGTCCTTTAGTCAAACAGAAGAGTGACGAAGGCTTGCAGCTGGTGGCTTAACCGTCCATTTGGTGACAGAAGGAAAGGTTCTCTGGATGGGAAAGCAAGATTCCAGTCTCACAGAGGGCCTGCAACCCAGAAGAGCCAAGGTACTTACTTCCAGCTGGAGGAAGAGCTCTGAAAGAGATAAAACATGCACTTAGATTTGCTAGGCCGCGTCACCTTTCTAGACAGCGATGGTAGGATTCGTTTAGAGGCACTAACTGCTTTCTAAGAGCACGGTAACGCAGAGCAAAATGTTTCCATCCGTAAAGTACTGATATACGTGAAGGGGAAGGATGGAAGAAACACTCATGACTAGTTAAAATCTGGCCCCGAACAGGATCACTTCCAGCAGCTCTGCCCAAGGTCAAAAGCAAGCAGCAGGAACCAAAGTACCCCAGCAAAACAACACCGAAAGTTATCCCCCTCCTTTCACTCAGTACCTACAGGGTAGGATGGGTCAGGAAGGAACAATGCAATTACTCCCGAAGCCGAGTCAACACTGATGTTTTTAAAGCATGTGTGAAGGTCTCTGTGTGGCAAGGAAGGACAGTCCCAGAGAACTCAGAGGGCAGAGGTTCTGAGCCCCCCAGGGGCATTCTTCACAGGCCACCAAGCCCCCTCGTCTGGCCTCACCTTCACGGCAACACCCACTGGGTCTGAGTGCAATTCCAGGCTTCAGAGTTAACGGAGCCTTTCCTGAGGACCCTTTACTTGCCATCCGCCCCTCGGACACGTCCAAGCAGCCACCAGACATTGGTCACCAGCTTCATCACCCACTCTGTGCAGGCGACTAGCGGCTGTTTACACAGCAGCTCCCCCCACCACTAGATTGTAAGCCTCTCTAGAGCCAGTCCTTTGAAAAAAATAGATCCACGGCATCTCATCTTTTCTGGGTGACAGTCGAGCTGCTGCCTACATCACAAAGATTGCTGGGGAACCCACAACTCCAGGACGCATGGATTACATTTTACCACGGTCTCCTTCACAAATGTGATAAAGCCTATGGATCTCTTTCCCCCTGAAACAGCATCTAGGCACAGCCACAGGTAATTTCGTAGAAGTTTGAGTTTCGGGACTCCAGATTAAGAATTCAGATCTCAGTGAACAGATGCCGAATAAGAAATTTAAGGGCGCCTGGGTGGCTAAGTGGGTTAAAGCCTCTGCCTTCGGCTCAGGTCATGATCCAGGGGTCCTGGGATCTCGGGCCCTGCATCGGGCTCTCTGCTCAGCGGGGAGCCTGCTTCCTCCTCTCTCTCTGCCTGCCTCTCTGCCTACTTGTGATCTCTGTCAAATAAATAAAGTCTTTTTAAAAAATAAATAAATAAGTAAGAAATTTAACTGAGGAGCGGTGCCTGGCTGGCTCAGTCAGTGGAGCACAGGACTCTCAATCTCAGGGCTTTGAGTTTAAGCCCTATGCTAGGTGTGGAACCTACTTCAAAAAAAAAAAAAAGAAAAAAAAGAAAGAAAGAAAAAGAAAAAGAGAAAGAGAAAGAGAAAAATAAATTTAACTGAGGAAAGGGACAAGTATTTTATCACCCGGAAGCCCTGATCATTCTGGCCCTGGCAATGGCTGAGCACTTGAGCCCGGGCACACTTAGCCCAACACGGCTCACTCCCACCAGTGCTTTAGACGCACAAAATGAATTTGATGCATTGCCTATGTGCCATTCTTAGAAACCACCCTGCACCAAGTCAAAATGGCCATCAGCTCTCAGAGTAGTAAGAGGTCTGAGTCACAACAGCCAGGCACCAACACAACAGGAACAAGCGGGTTAGCTCTGTGAGAATGTGCCCTTTAAGGCTCAAGCTGGGACTCACTTAGGAGTTCTTCAGCATTTATACCTGGGGGGTGAGGGGACAGGGGACAGAAAATGTTTCTGAAAGAACCTGCAAGAACAGGACCGAGAGCGGAACTAAGGAAAACCACTCAGTACTCACGCAGCAGTTCTAGCTGCAGATCACGTCAGTTTACCTTCCTTACTTGCCTCTTACGCCAGTTCCGTGAGGTTTGTGTACTCCCCTCTACAGATGGGGAACCTGAGGTTCCAAGAGCAAACCTCCTTACAGGCACAAGATCTAAGGTGCTGAGAGGAGACCAAACCTAGGCCTTCATCCCTCCACGGTGCACCTTTCCCTGCTACAGGGGAACACTGGGAAGGTGGCAAGGGATTTCACCGATGTCCCGAGGAGGTACCTTAGGAACTCAGCTCGCAGTGGGGGTAACCTCAGGGGCAGCCAGGATGTGGACAGAGGCTATTATTTTCTTTTTCCCAGTGCCTCCCATGCCCTTCAGCTCCCCTTCTGCCTGTTGGTGTACAAGGGACATCTACTTCCCAGAGGCTGGAACAGTTCCACCGATGGGAAGCTGGGAAGTCACCGGATCAGAAAGCGAAAGGACAGCAGCCTGAGGAAAGGCACCCAGACCTCATCTGAAAACCCAACATCACTTTCACCACTGCAGGGACAGATACCATGCTGGCGCTCAAAATGCTGACTGACGAGGAGCTTCCGAATCGAACACTTATGACACATTCCCTGTAAGCCCAGGAATGTTTATGCACTTTGAACAGTCATCACATCTTACTTTGTGCATGATTCTTCATTTACCTCAGAAAGTTCCTTAACTTTTTCCACGTTTGGATGTCTTCTGTCAATGAAATCACACATTTCCTAAAGTCAAGGACAATGTGTTCTGCTATTTCATGCTGCTCAGAGCTTGGATGTAGCAGGCGCTTGACAAATTCTTACTGAATGAACACATTTGCTCTGTTACAGTATACTCTTCCCCTAAATGCTTGTAATACTCCAGGGGAAAAACAAGAACACCCCTTCCTCCCAGAGCAGAGGATACCAGAAGAAACAACCTTCCAGCAAGAGTGAAACAAGCTACAATTCTTTCCCATGTAGCTCCTCTCATGGTCCACTCGGGCAGCCACGCAGACGTGAGAAAGAATGTGTGAATCCACTTACCAGGGGAGCCAGGGAGCCTGTTCTGTACGGAGCCACCACTAGTAAGCTCAACTACAGGCCATTCATTGGCCACTGGAAGAAAGATGAGCCAGTTTTCTACAATTGAAGCTTTACAGTCTCTCTTCCCCAAAACTCTCCCCTCCCCCATATCTGAGAATATAGAATTTGCATTTTAGACAACAGCTCTTATGGCCCCATTATACAGATGACCAGCAAAAGGACACCTGAAAATGATGTGTTCCCACCTGAGACAGAGCCTCACCTGCATTTCGGATCCTCTCTTTGTACTGCTGATCTAGTTTTTTCATCCTCTTCTGATATTCCTGTAACGTACCTGATTTTGAGATTTACAAAATAAAACGTTACTGTGAAAACCAATCTGCCCTACATTTCAGTTCCTAAAATTGCCTAGCACCAGCAAGAACTGTTTTAATACCATCAGAGTAAATAAAACCAGGGAAAGGAACATGCAAACAGAGCTAACTAGACTCTGGTTCTCAACCAAGGCCCCGAGCAGAAATCATCCCACCTAGTGGATTAAGACTCTGTAGCAAGTAATGCTTGCTAGAGCAAGTGATGGGAGTGGAAAGGTACATGCTTCCTCAAGTGATTCTGATCACCAGCTGCTGCAGTTGGGAGTCAATGGGCCTCCCTTTTCGGAAAAAAGCTCACTCTCTCAGTAAGGCCCAGATCATATGCCGTCCAGTAGGACTTTCTCTGCAACAGCGAAAAGGTCCTAGGTTTCACTGTTCAATACGGGGGCCACCAGTCATACATAGCTACTAAGCACCTGAAATGTAGCAAGTGCACTGAGGAACTGAATTATTAATTTTATTTAATTAAATTTAAATAGCCACACACGGCCAGTGACAATTCTGAAAAGTTCAGGTATAGATTTTCACCCAATGTCTACTCAAGTCATTGCTGTTCGAACATCAGTGAAGGAGAGTCAGAATTAATGTGGGAAGGGTTTCCTGATCATAATTCATTAGGAGAGTATCTTTTTCAAAATCCCTCACTCAACCATGCCAGGTATGCCCTACAGAATTGCTAGAATAGAATGTACTCCTTTCTCTGGTAATACTTCCATTATTATGAAAAGGAAAAAACAAACAAAACAGAGATATATAAATGCAACTCATGGGAACCATTTTTCACTACTTAGCAGAAATTAATGTCAGATGGGGTAGTTCAGGGAATATAAGGACTTCGTGGAAAAGATGCTTCACTGGGTGTCTGGGTGGCTCAGCGGGTTAAGCCACTGCCTTCGGCTCAGGTCATGATTCCAGGGTCCTGGGATCGAGTCCCACATCGGGCTCTCTGCTCAGCAGGGAGCTTGCTTCCCTCTCACTCTCTCTCCCTGCCTCTTTGCCTACTTGTGATCTCTCTCTATCAAATAAATAAATAAAATCTTTAAAAAAAAAAAAAAAAGATGCTTCACTGATGAGGGGGTCCCCCCCAAAATAAACCAAAGCGTTGCTGGCCACAGCTGACCCTGAGCTCCCAGTGTACCCCGCAGGGCTAGACGCCCCTCACCACTAATCACATCATTGGCTTCCACTCTGTGCATTTCAAAAATTGGAAAACAAATTTAAGCAGGAAGAAGTGATGCACCCAAGGTCAAATTTCCAGGAAGCAGCACAGTAAGGATTCAGGCCCGCGACGGCCCTGAGAGCCAACGCTCCCAACCCCGTGCTGAACTGCCTTTAGCTGGAAACAGCCCTGGACAAGATACAGTCCACTTTTAACACTTTTAACTTACCAAGCAAACCACAGAGAACACAATAAGGCTAATCCACAGCTCATCGGCATTTAGTTTAGGAAAAAATGGTGCAGTTTCACGTATTCTTTAGCACTCTCTCTCTCTAGCTTTAGGCTCACAGCGGTTTTCAGCTCATGCTCTTCAAAAAGCCCTAAGTGAGGGTCCAAAAATGTTAGAAAATCGCCATTCTTCTGACAGAAGATAGCAAAAATTTTAAATCACTCCCCACAGGGGTGTTAAATACACAGACTTCGAAGGCTTGGGATAGTCAGTGTATTCAGAAACAAAGGGTGAGGGGCGCCTGTGTGGCTTAAGTCGTTAAGCGGCTGCCCTCAGCTCAGGTCATGATGCCAAGGTCCTGGGATCAAGCCCGGCATCGGGCTCCCTGCTTGGCGGGGAGCCTGCTTCTCCCTCTCCCACTCCCCCTGCTTGTGTTCCCTCTCTCGCTGTGTCTCTCTCTGTCAAATAATAAAATCTTTAAAAAAAAAAAAAAAAAAAAAGAAACGAAATGAAATGAAGGGTGAGAAGACAGACCAACCTTCCTGCAGCTGCTGCAACTGTCTCTTGAGGGAAGCCAGTTTATCCTGATACATCCTGTGAAGAGACAACAAAAGCCACACTGAGAGACAGAAGCATTCAATACTCGATTCCAAAATAATCTACACACAGGGACCGCCTAGGCTGTTACCAGAACGTTCTTAACGTCCTTTAGGAGACAGAGAAAATGGAAGCCCGCCAGCTGGTTTAAAATGTACCAGCAGCTAATGGGATCAGAAAGGGACAAGGATTCTGTGTTCTTGAATCATATCCCAGTTCTGCAGACTCTCCTGTATTATCGCACCTTTAGAGAATCAGTCCAAAATCTACAAAAATGAAGACACGCAGATTTTAATAAATAAAGGACAATGATAAACAGGCAAGAAGATTAAAAAAAAAAATCTAAAGCGTGATGCCATTTCCTTCTGGATTTAGAAGTATAAATAACATACACAAAAACGTAACAAAGGCATTAACACAGCAGCTCTTCTACCAACTCTACAATTTGATTATAAATTCTAAAGGAGTAAGATTATGCCTTTGGCACGTTTTGCTATGTAGATAGCATAGCTGTATAAGCACCAAGTTAATAAACCTTCGTGTCATTTTTTTAAAAGCACTACTCTTTTAGGATCAGAAATAATAGTTATTCAGTAACAAAAGTTAAAATGCAGGATTTATTTGCAGCCCCAGCTGGATGAGAACACACAGCACACACAAAGCAAAACCGCCTAGAGTGTTATTCTCTCCCCCCCAACCCACACCAAATGGATTATAAGCAATTATACACTCTGACAAGTCTGTTTTGTTTTGAAGATTTTATTTATTTATTTGACAGAGAGACAGTGAGAGAGGGAACACAAGCAGGGGGAGTGGGAGAGGGAGAAGCAGGCTTCCCACTGAGCAGGGAGCCCAATGCGAGGCTCGATCCCCAAGATCCTGGGATCGTGACCTAATCCAAGGCAGACACCCAGTGACTGAGCCACCCAGATGCCCCACAACAAGGTCTATGTGAATGGTGGATTCCATAAATGAATCAACAGTATTTTTGCTTCTACCTGAAAAACACCCCCAATTTTACAGTGACAGAAACAAGATTTGCAACCTGAACGAACACTGTCCAACAAATAACAGGCACAAGAGCTTTTTGACTGCTCCAGTAAGGGCTGTAAATACAACTGAACTATTCACACAAACTGAGGAGAGAGTTGGCAGAATCTGGCAATTACACAGGTGGTCTGATCAAAAGATCAATGAGAATTCTGATGTACTCTCAACACTCACCTTGAATCACACAAGGAATTCAATTTTAATAAAAAAATTTTTCTGTATCTTGTATTGAGGCACATTCAATTAAAAAAAAAAAAAAAAGATCTCAAAAGAATGCTTATACATGCCGAAAAGAGAAAACAGATGTATCAACTGCACATGATAGATCAGTATTTAGAACCCAATGTATTCAATTTCCCACCACACCGAATGCAGCAAACAATGTCTTTGACTTCTGAGTTTGTACTGAAAAAATAAACAAGCAAACAAATCAGATTTGGTAAAAGGAAAGGTATGTGTAAATGGTTCAAGGTAAATCAGTAAAAAGCCTGAAGAGAATAAAAATAAAGACCAAGCACAGTTTCAGGAATGAAGCTGTGAGAAAAATCACACGAATTATTAAAGTAATCCTTCTTTATGCAGCATTGGTTGAATTTAGCTGAATTACCCCTTTGGGTTCCAGAGCCTGAAAAGGAGAACAGAATCCAGACGATGGTCACGAACCACTGGCAAAATAGAACCTACAAAAAAAGGAATGTGGATCATCTAGTTTAAAGATGAAAGAATTTAAAGTCAAATCAAGAGCCTCAAAATACATTCAACAAATACTTCTGAGATCTATTTTATACAGTCTTCCATCTGTGTTTAGAATAAAAATGAGTGGTTCTGGTTTCTCTAGGCACAGTTAGAGAAGGCTTGGGGCAGGATGTGTGACCAGAGGAAAGGGCACTAGAGCAGGAAGTCAGGAGCCCTCCAGCTCTCCCTGAGCTCTCTAGGAGCCAGCACACCATCAGCTCTCAGAGGGGTCAATTCCACCTGAGAACCAAATAGTTATGACGCACCCTTTATCCTGAGTAATGGTTTTCACATTTAAACAAAAACATGAAGAACTGGGGAACAGTTCTCTCCTGATACGTGGTCTTATTTCCCTGGAATCATTTCCTTCAAGGTTCTTCCTAGCCAATGCTCAAAAGATTCTTTTAACAGGAAGACGGATTACACATGACAAATTTAAAGGGGGAAACTGCACAGATACACTGGACTTTGGAAGCTCCCAAAACCATACACACAAGGTCACTGTCAAGATTTACTTGTCAATTCTGTATTCCAAGCAAGAAATATAAGAATCACACTCACTGTTCCTTCATTTCTACATAGTCCTCTTCATCATGCTTTGCCAGGTCAGTTTCACTAGCATCTTCAGTGTCTAAGTAAAATCAGGGAAAAAAGGTTAAAATAATAATTCATAAAGATAGTATCACCTGACAAAGTGACACTTAAACTTCTGTAAAATGAATGCAGGCCCATGGGAAGCCATCAGTGAGAAAGATTACATAGTTACTCTAGGAAAGAAAATGCCATTTCCAACTTAGATATGGCCAGACTTATGCAAAGAGCTGTCTTCGTCTCAAGTGCAACCAGAGAACAGGGTCCGTGAGACAGTCGTGATCAAGGCTGCTACTTCTACAGAAGCCCCTCGGCCACTCAGGAAACAGAGCTGTGTCAGACAGGACAACTAGAGGCAGCCAGGCCTTGCTCACTGCTCCAAAATGACCTAGTAAGTCCATTCTCTTCTGGTCCATGCCCTTAACGGATTTTTACATCACATTTATCCAAAGGAGAACCCAAACCAATGAAGTGAACTCTAATAACTGCAATTATTTTCAAAGTTACATCTAAAGGGAGAAGAAAGGAGACAAGATGATAAAACAGAAAATGTTTCAGAACACTTTAAACATTGTTCTTAAAGTAAATAGTGGAATGTCTACATAATTTCAACAGCCCTGCTTGAGCAAGGATAAAAATCTATTTTGGCTTCGCCGCTCCCCCTTGTGGGCATTAAGAGCAATTACAAGTGTCTCACATTGAAAATCCCTGGTGAAGGCCTGTCTTCAAACGTAGTTCAACCAAACGCAATTAGTTCCTTCAACTTTATTACCTGCACATGTCGCTGCCTTTTTAAAGGCTGCTGCAGATCCAAATCCTCACAAAGCCTTCTCCTCTCTTTCAGTCATGAGACCTTCACTGAATTCCTGTCAGAGGCCAGCCACTGTACTAGGCAGTAGGGAACTGAGATGAATAAAACCTATTCCTCAGTCTGGCAACTAGTCTAACCTTTTCCTCCACAGCCCTATATTCCACCCATATATTGGTCTCTATCTCCCCTTTCTCCTCCAGTGTTTTTTTTTTTTTTTTAAAGATTTTATTTATTTATTGGACAGAGATCACAAGCAGGCGGGGGGGATGGAATGGGGAGCAGGCTCCCTGCGGGGCTCGACCCCAGGACCCTCGGATCATGACCTGAGCTGAAGGCAGAGGCTTAACCCACTGAGCCACTCAGGCGCCCCTCCAGTGTCCTTTAATGGTTTTTTCCCCCACCTTTCTCCTTCTCCAGTAGCTCCTTCCTCAATCCTTCCAAAACTGTCTTCCTCACACTTGCCAAACTGTAATGCCCAGTTTGAAGAGCTGTGTTCTTAGAGGCAGTAATGATAACGGAAAGAACGTGGAACTGAAAACACAACACCTGGGCACCATTAAGCAAATCTCTATCTCCCCCCTGCCCCTGCTTCCCCAGTGTTACGAAAACATCTGAGTACCAGGCTAAGTACTTTATGCACATCTCATTTAATCCTCACACCTACGCTAGGAAGCCCCGTTACAGCCAGGGAAACTGAGGCTCGCGAGCTTAAGTAAGTTGTCGAAGGTTACAAAGCTGGGTTCAGTGCGCCAAATTTAGACGTAGATCTGGCTGATTCCAGGTTCCGTTCTTTTAAGCAACCTGACCTGCGCTGCCCAAAGCAGGGCTGGCTGAAGCATTTCCCCGGGGTGGAGGGTCGGGGAGAGCACCTGGAAACCAAGCTGGGCTTTACTCTGATTCTCTCCGGACCTCAAAAGGGGAAGAGTACTCCAGATACTCAATGGAAGCCTTTCTCATTCCAACCAGGAAAGACCTGGGGTTCACCAGAGACCGCTGAGGGGAGGACATAATCTCCAAGGGACCTCCAGCTCTGACAGCAGTTCCCCAAGTCCCTCCTTCCCATAAGTGTTAGGGTACGACGTCCCCGCAGAAGCCCCGGGCCCAGCGCAGGTTGGGGTGACTTCCTGGAGCCGCGCTCCTCCCGGCGGCCCCTTCAGCCTCCCCCAGCCCCGGAGGTCGCCCCGCCGGTCGTCCCGCCCCTCCCTGCAGCCCACTCACTCCCTCAGCGGTCCCACCCCCGCCCCGGGCCGCCGGGCCAGCCAGAGTACGCACCTTCATCCGACTCGCGGCCGCGGCAGCTGCGCTCGTCGTCCTCGGCGCTCTCCAGTTCTTCGTCCTCCTCGGGGTAGTACTCCGGGGCCGGCGGTGCTCCAGCCGGGGCCGGAGCCGGAGCCAACAGCCCCGCGGCGCTCATGTCGCCTCTGGCCGCGGCTGAGCGTGTCACCCAGCGACCGCGGCCGCGCGCCCTGCGGACTCGACGCCCGCCTAGCAGCCCCCGAGGGAGCCGCCAACTCGAGGAGCGGGAGCGGCGGCAGCCCCGGCGACCCCTTCCCCCTCTCCGCCAAGCTCCGCCCCGCGCGCCCGCGCTCGGCAACGGGGGCCTCGCGCCGGCGGCGACTTCCGGGTCGCGAGCTGCCCGAGGACCGCCTGACTCCGTCATCCTTGCGGGGGTGGAGAAGCCAATGGACGCCCCCTTCGTCTTAACCTCGGCCCTTTCATCGCCGTCTTTAAAATCCTCAACGGGTAGTGGGGAGGGGCGGAGACAAGATCTCTGGAATTAGGCAAATCTTTGGACAGGCCTGGCCGCAGCTAGGACCCCGAAGCTCTCGGGCGACTTCTGGAAACAGCCGCCAGGCGGCGCAAGGAGCCAGAACTAAAGCGAGGATCCTTAGCGACTTGAAAGAGGCAGAAGGGCTGAAGGTGGTCTCTCATTGAAATAGGTGAACATGATCCATCCCCTTTATGGGTTAGGAAACGCTGACATCTAGAATTTTCGTGATCATCCCCCAGAGCCTATCTCCTCCCCTAATTGGAGCTTTATTGAGAACTAAAAGGCAAGGATGCTGATAATTCCCCTCTGGGGTCAGTAAAAGGGTGTTTTCCCAGTCCCTCGGAGTCTTTTCTGTTTGTATAGGTGTACTCAGTAAGGTCTTCTCCCGATTTTGCAGATGAGAAGTGAACATTTACCTAAAATATGGTAGCGTCCAGGCTGCCTTGTCTACACGATTATACCCAAGTGCTGTATACTACTGCTGCCCCATATTTTTTAGAATATTAATTTTTTAAAAGGTGCTTTCCCCCAACCAATAACTTGCTAACATCTCTCAGCTGAGCAAGTGGAACATTCTGCTTGCAGGAAGTTAATTAAGCTAACATAAGGAAGGTGCTATGTGGAAACTTAGAAAACAAGAGAGCTGAATACCTGCATAAATTAATTCATGTGATTCCTTCTGAGTAGGAGACACTGCGTTATAAGCTTTGCTTAATGAACAAATTTAGGATGTCCCTTGTCTAGTTGTGGGTAGCAAGAAAAGGGGTAAAGAAAAGAGGCTATGATGTTTGTCTAAAGTAACCCTGCCCTCTTAAGTTGCATCCCATTCTCCATAGAATAAGTAACTTACAAGTAATAAGGTTGAAAACAGATCTAAAAGCCAGGGTGGGCCCCAGTATCCTGATCTTTCATGACCAAATTCATCTCTGAATGGGACCCCCGAGTCTTCTCAAAGTGAAAAAAAAATTTACTCTCATCCCATTTATTTTAACATTTATTTTCTACCTTGTCTTAATGAAAATCTTGGCTCTTTGTGGGAGATCTTTCCACCCAACAAAACTCAACAATTTCTAAAATGGACTGCTCCAATGTCTTTCCGTGAGTTCAGAGATCTTCTGAAGCTCTTTCTAAATAACATTCTCAAGGCTCACTGTAGATGCACCATCTGTATTTAAACTAGGATTTTAGAACAGCCTCTTGCCCAAAGGATGAAGTCATTTCTATTTTTATTTTAGATCACATCTAAATTATTTGTAATCAGCTATATTGAGCAAGTTGGGTTTCCATCAGAAGCAATAATCATAGACCAGAAAAAGCACCAACATTTTAGAAATTAGAGTTCATTGATATAATGAATCAAAAAAAAAAAAAGATTGACTTTGTTGCTAATTGATTTTTTTCAAGACATGGAATTTTTATCTTGCTTATGTTTTCTTTCTACTTGATTGCAAATAACATCTGTTAATGGTCATGCATTTCTTTTTTATATGAATAGACACAACTGAATACTGGTAGTGAAAACTTACTCCATTTCTTCAATCTATATTTCCAGCTGCATTATTGGTAGGATGAGCTCTTAATTTATAATTTGCTCTTTCAGAGGAGGACCTAGTCAGAAGAGTTCTGTTGTGACTTTCATCTTACCTAACCTTTATAGTTGTTGAATATAATAATTTTGGGGGCTTCCTGGGTGGCTCAGTCAGTTGAGCATTTGACTTGGTCAGGCTCTGTGCTCAGCAAGGAGTCTTCTTGGGACTCTCCCTCTGTCCTTTTCTTGCTCCCTCTAAAATAAATAAAATCTTAAAAAGTATTTATATGTATTATAATTCTGTATAGTCTCTCTAGACCTTTAAAATCAAGTTCCCACAGAATTACACTGAAATCTCTCATCCCTTTCCAAAATGCTAGTCAAAACTGCTCAGGAGGCACCTACTTCAGAACTCAAATTAAGTCCTGCCAGCTTCATTTCTACCAGCCCTCTCTGCATACCCAAACACCCCCGTTTGAAGGGGAGCATTGTAACTGGAATGGAGTATCATTGTAAAACCCTAGGAAAACACTTACAGTGTTTAGGACACAGATTGTCAGCAGGAGTTAACACAAGAGTTAATGATGGAGAGTTTTCAGAGAGCCAAGTCCTACGTACATCGAATGAGGCTAAGCATCAAACTGTGTGCCTGAAAGGAAACCATTTCTTCATAAAATGCTGAATTGCCAAAGTCCGTCAACTTTGGGGTTTATGAGTAAGAGTAGCAGTTTTCAGTTTCTGGTATTGACTTAATCAACCTATACAGCTTCAAAAAATATAAAGAATGGCTCCCAGTAACACGACACACTTTTACCCCGGGGCAGACCAGTCTCTGATAACCACAGGTTGCACTTTGGCCATTAGTTCACACAGAATCACTAAAAACATTGGCCCTGGAGAAACGAATATGCTGAATCAGCGCGCTGAAGCCTACCACACAGTTCCTGCTCCTACTGTCAAAACGATTAGCAAAACTCACAAACTGATTATTTCTCCAGTTTTGTCCTTGTTCCTACCAAAATGAGCCCCATCGGTGTGGAATGCCTTGCTTGCTCACAGTATGCACCCCGTATAAAGATCTTTGTGCCCCCAACAGCATTAAACTGACGTCTGTCGAACGCAATGCAAGGGCAACTCTCCTGCCAAAGATATAAAAAAACTTAAATTCAGGAAATATTTACAAGTCCGGAGTGAATACACGCTCTATTAACTGATGGCATCACTACTTAGGGAGCTGAGTAAGAATGGGAGAATGGGGACTTCCTCAAAGGCTCTCACACGGTGGTCCCCGGGAGTCCCAGGGGCCCTTGCCCCTGGGAGGCTTCCAAGAAAAGTAAAGCTGCAGAGGAGTGCCATGAACTTTGACCCTGGTGCAGCACAAACAAGGCTAACCGCACCCCAGGCGGGCCCGCGGGGTAACTGAAGTTGCAGGGTCTTCCGCGTCTTAGGAAACCCCGCCCCGCCCCGTCCCGCCCACCGCCCGCTCCGCCAATCCTCAGGCGCCATCGACCGCTCGGCCTCCCAGGTACTTCCAATCAAGTACCTATATCCGGCCCCAGTCCAGTGCCCCGCGGTCAGGGGAGGTCAGTAGAGAGCCTATCGGAGCCGAGCTGGGGGCGTGGTCGGGGCAGGGGGCGGGCGAACTGAGACGGCGGGGCGGAGCGCGCTCGTCGCAGTCGGGTGCGATTGGCCACCCCTGGCAAGAGCCGCACCTCGGACAGCAGCAGCGGCGGCAGCGGGAGGGTCCGTGTGGCGCCCGGCGGCGACGGCGGCGGGGTCCTGCGTGAGAGAGTGGGACGCGATACCGAGACCGCCGGCGGAGGCTCCGCGTGGCCGGACTCGACACTCAGCGACCCGAACCGGGGACCCTCCCGGGGACAAGCGGCAGAAGAGCGACGCGGGAACAAGTGTGGGAGAGGAAGCGGCGGCGGTGACGCCGGGCCCCGGGTGGTGACAGCAGGTCTGAGGTGAGAGCACCGGGGCTCGGGACGGTGACAAAGTGAGCCGAGGCAAGGAGACCCTGGGTGGAGTGAGGTCGGGGAGGACTCGTGACGGGAGTCCGGGAGCGAGTTTGTCTGGACCCGGGAGAGAAGACCCCGAGAGGGGCCGGGATAGCGGGTCTGAGCGGGAACCGAGAGAGGGCTTAGGACAGCGGGTCTAGGCGGAGTCCCTGAGAGGGCTGGGGACAGCGATTCTAGAGGGAGTCCCCGAGAGGGATTGGGACAGCGAGTGTGAAGACAGGAGACCCCGAGAGGGCTTGGGACAGCGGGTCTACGGGGAGTTCCCGAGAAGGCTTGGGACAACAGGTATGAAGGGAGGGGACCCCGAGAGGGGCTGGAACAGCGGGTCTGAAGACAGGTAACCCCGAGAGGGCTTGGGACGGCGGGTATGAAGGAGGGAGCCCTGAGAGGGGCCAGGACAGCAGGTCTGAAGAGGGGACTCCGAGAGGGCTTGGGACAGCGGGTGTGGAGAGAGGGGACTGGAGAGAGCGTGGGACAGCAGGTCTGGCTGGGGGACACCCCCCCCCCCCCGAGAGGGGCCGGGACAGAGGGTTTAGGGGAAGTCCCCGAGAGGGCTTGGGACAGCGGGTGTGAAGGGAAAGGACCCCGAGAGGACTTGGGACACCAAGCCTGCTGGGGGACACCTCCCCCCCCCCCCGAGAGGGGTCGTGACAGCGAGTGTGAGGGAGACCCGGAGACGGGCTTCGGAGCACGCGAGTGGAAGGAGAAGGGGGGAGCGAGTCTGGGTCGGGGTCGCTGCACCCGGCGAGTCGGGACTGCCAGCAGCGCACGGCGAGGGGAGGCGTGCTGCTCGCAGGGTCTGCAGTCAGCCAGTCTCCCCAAAGGTGGTGTGTGAGTTACGGGGCAGCCCGAGCCCCGGTGTTATGCTCCGGTAGAGCAGGGATTATGTAATGAATCCTCTCCTAAGTAGAACGCAAGGGCTGGAGGGTCTGGCAGAAGCGCAGAGATCTTGGCAAGAGCGAGAAACCGACCGCCCGACCTCTCTCCGCGCTGGCCCCCTGGCTTCTGATGTGTTTCTCAGAGTTTGGCGTGGATGCCTTGAAAGTGAGGGGCTTCTTGACATTAATACCTGAACGAGAACGTGGAAAGTTGGAGAGAGGGCTTCTCCAAGCCCAAGGCAGTTGAAAAGGAAAGGGATCCTTTGGGAGACCCATGTCTTGGATTTTAGTTGGGATGTCGTTGGTGATCGTCCCTGTATTTTTCATTTCAGCTCAGGGAGCTAAGAAAGGTTTTTAGATTCAAATCAA